GTGGCTGACTACATGTCTTCACAGAACATAGAACTGGACACAATTCCCGCCGAAGCCCACTGGCAGATTAGCCATGTCGAGCGGGCCATCAAATGCACCAAACACATCATGACCAAACTGGCCATGGAAGATCCTGAGATCACAGCGCAGGAAGCATTGGCTGAAGCCCTAAGGACCGAGAATGAAAGAGAAATTGTCCGGGGCTACAGTCCTGCACAGCATGCGCTCGGTCGTTCGCCCGATTCCGCCGGTCGGTTTCATCCCAGTGGAATGAAAGAAATTCCCCCAGGTTTGTGTGAAAATAGTGAGGGTGAGTTTCAAAGAAACATACACCGCATGACCACCGCAGAACATGCCATGACCGAATGGATCGCGGACGAACGGCTCCGAAGAGCCGCAAACACACGTAGCTACAAACTGGAACAATACCAACCCGGCGACTTAGTATACGTGTGGAGAATCCAAACCAGGGGGCCAGCTAGTTCAGCCAGGACTGGAGGTTTCACTGGACCAGCTCGAGTGTTGGCCCTGGAAACCAAGCTGAATGAGGACAACACATATCGACCAGGTTCTGTGGTGTGGCTGACCAGAGGTTCAAGATTGATCAAAGCGTGTCCACAACAGCTACGACGAGCCTCAGTTCGTGAAGAAGCTCTTGAATTGTTGACCAATCCACCAGATCTTCCGTGGACCTTCACGAAGTTGACCGAGGACCTTTCGAAACACTACTATGAAGATGTCACAGGTGATGTACCAGAACTTCCGGAGTTCGAACGTGCGGTGGATGAGGAAACGATCAGACCTTACAAACGAATACGACATAAGGCATATGTTCCAGAATGTCCCCCACCTACTAGACCTAGTGTGGATGAAGATGATGACATGTTGTTTGTTCATGAACAGGGTTTGGTAGTCGACATGGACACTACACCACTCACTGAACATGCCATGAGTGCTGAAGTGTTTTGGGCGCAGTCCGAGGCTGCTGTCGAAATCGTTTTCGAAACACCAGAGACAAACCGCGGAAAACAATATATGACAAACTCAATTGAAAGCTTCTTGGTGTCAAACCTTCGACGTCGATCGGTGGAGGTAAACGAAAAACACTTGACGGATGAAGAGAGAATTCTCATGACAAACGCCAAACAAGAAGAGGTAAAGAAATACATAGGAGCACAGGCCCTGGAGGCACTTCCGCCACATCTCAGGCCACATCCATCAAAGGTCATGAGGATGAGATGGATTTTGGTTTGGAAACGCGATGACCAAGGAAACAAAAAGGCGAAAGCTAGATGTGTTATCTTAGGATACATGGTGCCGAGCGGCAAACTGCCGCACCAACCATGTCCAGGACCACCCGTCAGTTGTTGCTGGTGATATCATCAGCGCTGGGCTTTCGAGTGGCCAAGGGAGATGTCTCGGGTGCCTTTTTACAAGGCCGGGAGTACCAAGGTGAATCTTATGTGATACCCACCGATGAAATATGCATCGGCATGGGACTCAGTCCAGGCGCCATCACGCGCCTGAAGAAGGCATGTTATGGCTTGGTTGACGCACCACTGGAATGGTACTTGACGGTGTCGGACTTCTTAATCTCAATTGGGTTTTCGCGTTGTGTTACCGACCCCTGTTGCTTCAAGTATGTGTCACAAGATGGCAGGCTGGTAGGACTCATAAGTGGACATGTTGACGACTTTCTTTTTTGCGGGCGTGAAAGTGACCAGACATGGACCAACTTGTGTGACCAAATTAGAAAGAAGTTTGATTGGGGAACTTGGGAATGGGACAATTTCACTCAGTGTGGAGTCCAAATCAAGAAAAGACCGGAAGGGGGTTATGAAATGAATCAATCACAATACCTTGAAGACCTGAAGGAGATCTCTATATGCTCCGAACGCCGCCGTGAACCTAGCTCCCTCACCAATGATCGCGAGAAGACGCAGCTGCGAGCCGCGCTGGGAGCTTTGAGCTGGTGTGCCCAGCAAACCAGTCCACAGATTGGAGCTGCAGTGAGCCTCTTGTTATCCAGAGTGACTACCAGCACAGTCTCCACCCTACTTGAGACGAACAAACTCATATACAAAACCAAATGCGACAAGAAACACAAGATGTTGATACATGTCCATGACCCGCAAGACTTGTTGGTAGCATGTTGGGCGGATGCCTCTGTACAGAACAGGGTTGACGGCAAGAGCACACAAGGTATCCTCATAGGAATTACCTCGAAGCGTCTGTTGGCAGGGGACTTATGCGAAATCAGTCCAGTGGCTTGGAATTCCACCAAGATCACCCGACAGTGCCGCTCTCCAGGAGCTGCCGAGTGCTTAGCAACCATAAATGGAGAAGACCAGTTGTTTGCAGTGAGACTCCAGCTTTCTGAAATGTTGGGCACTCAGATTCGAGTCAGACAGGCCGCGAGCTTTGTAAAGCAAGTGCCCGCCGTACTGGTGACCGATTCAACAAATGTTTTCGATCGCATGAAGTCAACTGTCTATGTTCCAAAGGGACCAGAACAGCGCACAGCCTTGGAACTGATAGGCTTAAAAGAAGCCCTGGAAGAGACCGAGCTTGTGATCCGATGGGTGCACTCACACGCGCAACTTGCAAACTCCCTGACAAAAGAAGGAGAAGGACAAGAGCTTGATCGCTTCTACCAATTAGGCCAACGCTGGCGCATCGTGCAAGATCCCCAAATGCAATCCGCGCGCAACCGAAAGAAACAAGGTTTGGATGTTCTCGAACATTGCGGAAGCAAGGGATGGCCCGGGGATGCAAGTTTCTTCGCGTCCTAAGTAGATAGCTCATTCACCATCACCGTGCAGTTTGGGATCAAAAGGATCGTGAGCCGAGCGGCCACCTGTTTCGCGCGCGCCGAGAGCCTGCCGATTTCCTTTAGGTGTCTTTCGACTTAGGTGGCCCCAGATCTTTGACTAGAGCAATAGTGACGCCGGCTGACCGCCTGCTTTTGTGGCTGCTACCTGCACGGTAGCGGAGCCTGCGGGCTCGTGTGAGAAAGGTGAATGATGATGTCATGGTACTCAGCACCGCCAGGCCGTGTTGAGTCTTCAGGTGGCAACCAAGGGGCGATTCTCAAGAATCGCGATGGGGTGCCGGTGTGGTCGGGAGACAGCTCCACCTTCGAAGAGTTCGTCGAAGCCTGTCTCCTGTATGAGCAGACCGTGGTCAAAGAGAAGCGATACCTTTGTGGGCCTCGAATTGCCAGTGAACTGTCTGGATCAGCCAGGCGCATCCTGATTGGCAAGTCAGCGGACTGGCTGTCCTTCGATGGAGGGGTCCGTCGATTAGTGGCAGCTCTTCGTGCTGAAAGGGGCCAATCCAAGGTTCCTGAAATGAGCGAGCTGTTGATGAAGTACTTCAAGGGCACCAGACGCCAGCGGGGCGAGGGCATGAATGACTTCGTGATGAGAAAAGCCGAGGCATACACCCGGGCACAACAGTCAATGGCCCGGTATCAACGAGAACATCCAAAGAAGCCAAAGTCAGTGAACTCAGATCCAAGATCTCAGCATTCATCAATAGCTGGCCCTCAGAGAACCTGGAAGGCTAGGAACAGTCAACCTCTGCAGGAGCAGTCCTATGAGTTTGAGAATGAGGGGTACGACCTTGCGACGGAGGAGGATGATCCCTGGGCGCAATGGCATGCGCGTGATGAGTGGGAAGAAGCCCACTCTCACCAGTCCAGGAGCCATCATACTGAGTCCTGGAAACAGTCCGACACCCTGGAATGCAGTCGTGATGAGCTCCCAGAGATTTTGCCAGATTTCATCCAAGGCTGGTACCTCTTCATGGACTCCGGCTTGGACGTGATGGAAAGAAATGTTCTCCACGCTGACCTACAAGGTGATTTCAGTGTCCGAGCCGTGGAGACAGTGTTGAGGAAACACTGGACGGATGCGGACGTCAAGCGCCGCGACATGGAGAAGGGCAAGTACATGGCCCACATGACGGAGGACCACGACCCGGAGGAGGACAAGGTCTTCTGGAGCGAGCTTGATACAAATGGCTTTTGATGGAAGAGGGCTTCACCACCGTCCATGGAAGTGGAGCAAGAGAAAATGGTGGAAGCCTACGCCGTGATGCAGGAGGCTCGACAGACACTGAGGGAGGCCAGAGCTAAACAGCATGCCGTTCGAATGGCACGGCAGTACTACCCCGTCAAAGGGAAGGGCAAGGGCAATGAACCTCAAAGCCTGTGGAAGCGACTTGGCAAAACGCCTCCACGGATGCAATGTTTCCGATGTGGTGGCCCACACAAGGTGGCCGAATGTCGGGAGAAGCCTGCTGACCAGTCAGCCCACGTGAACACCCAGGAGCAGGCACCTTTCGTCTTCTTCACCGACACGGTGGGGGAGGCGCTCATGGGCGAGTCCCAGGCCACCATCTCTACCCAGGATGTGATGCTGCAGGGAAAAGCTGTCATTGACGGCGGAGCCACGAAAACCATTGGCTCCATTGCCGCCCTCTCCAGGGTTGCAGATCTGAATGAATCCATCCGGGGTGACTCTGGGGTGCAACAAGTGGACCTTGCTGACCGGCCAGTTTTTGGGTTTGGAAATTCCTCGAAGGACCAGTGCGCCTCAACGGCATCATTACTGGTCCCGCTCGGTGGCAAGATGGGCACTCTCAAGGTGCACGCCCTGGACAAAGGCCAAGCGCCAGTGCTGCTGTCAATCAGCTCCTTGAGAAGCTTAGGCGCCGTGATCGACTACGCATCGGATCGCGCAGTCTTCCGGGCAGTGGATCCGACCAAGGTGGTGCGCCTGGAGCGCACGGCAGCTGGACACCAAGTGCTGCCTCTCACGACGGATGCCTATGAGACTGCCCGCAGCTTGCGAGCGCCGCTGCCGTGCTTTAGTGATCTCGAATAGGGATATGACCTTTCCATCCCGTCGCCTGCGCAGGGTGGAAAGGACAGCGTAGCAGCAGGAATGGTTTTTCATGGACATGTCATGGTAGATCATGGTAGTCAGTTGGGATGCGAACCAAACCCCGATTATGATCAACATGAAACTCTTCAGCCCGGCTTCCATGGGAGAGAACGAAACCAAGGCCTCAAAACGGAACCCATGCCACGTGTGTCGCATACATCACATGATTGTGCACATCACACTTTTGGTACAGACCCTAGTCAGTGTCAGAGCTCAGAGCCACCCGATACTTCGTCACGCACTCAGGTCACGGAGGACCATCGATCTCAGGGTGTCGTGAAACCTGCGCTCGGTGTCATCGATCGGCCACCGTTGAGTGAAGTTGATGAAACATCCGCAGCCGTTTCCGCTTCGTTCTTTGGAAAGCACGACCTCTCTCCCGAAGCTTGTGGTGATCATGGTGTCCCGCATGACCCGTGTGGAGCTTGGCGAGCGTCTCCAGAAGTACCATGGGGAAGTGGCTCCAACCAAGTGGACTCGGGCACAATTGCTTCATCGGCTCAGCGAGCTCGAGGGAGAGGTGATCTTGGAGCCAAAGAGCAAGGAACTCAGCCCATTGAGGACTCTCGAAGTGGCCATCAACAAGGCCTCAGCTCGGAAGGCAACCCTCCAGGAGTACCTGACGGTCAACATGGGCATGACCCTGACGGGCACCGAGACCATTGCTCAGCTCAAGGTGAAGGGCCTGAACCAGGCCTATGTGATGGCAGCTCCTCATCCCACGGACTTCGTCGGGTTCGGCAAGCATTGCGACAAGAAGTACGAGGAGATCTGGATGGAACAGCCCAGCTATGCTCGCTGGGTGATGCAGACCTCCAAGGAGGACCCAGAGAGCAGCATGAAGCTTCATCGCTTGGCCAAATGGCTGGAGGAGATACGGAGCTGGAGCAAGTGACGGAAGCCACAGCAGAGCATTCCAAGAACCCGAAGAAGGGCTACCCAGTCAAGAAGAAGGACGCAGAGAAGTCCAGTTCATCCTCAGAGATGATGGAAATGGCTTTAGCCTTGAAGGCGCTCACCAAGGAGGTGGCCGACATGAAGGAGGATCGGGAGACGCGCCGGAAGCAACCCTCGGCCGCCACCTCAAGCGACTGGGAGAAAACCTCCCAGATGCCAGTGGATCAGTAGACGGTTCCAAAGGGTTTTTCTCCGAAGGCTTGGAAACTCTCTTGCCTGCACCTCAGGTGGTGCTCAGTGAGCGAGAAACCAAGCTACTGAGCCTTCAGGCCATGGAGGAGCTCCCCGCTGCATTTGGGGAACTCATCCGATATGAACGGCCCTTGCTTTTTGAGGTAGCATGTGGACCGGACTCACTCCTGACGGATACCATGAGAAAAATGACCGGTAGGGAAAGCGCAGCTGAACGTCTTTCTTTTTGGAA